CGATATATTATTACCATAAAAATGAACCAGTAATGATTTCCCTGTTAATATTTCAAGCAACACACTTAAAAAAAAGTTGCTAATCAGGTTTTTCACTTTCTTTTCAGCCGTTTAGCTTGAACAGCTTCAATGCACTTTACATTGAGTTCTCTTTTTTCTTTTGTTATGGCCTTTATCATTGTAACAAACAAGAACAAACATTTCAGTCATTTCAACAACTGTGTGTTTGTGTGTGTGTGTGTACAGGTTTATGTGGTTTACGAGAACGGAATTGTATAATTACATGATCGAAGCGCTGCACAATAATGATATAATTTTATATATAATAATCTGCGATATGTATTGCGATAAATATACAATTTCACCATATGACTTGAATGCCTTTATTTGGAAGTTATTAATGAATCTAGATTGATTGGGATGATTCAGGGGAGTGCATCTGCAAAAAATATTATATATATATATATATATATATATATATATATATATATATATATATATATATATATATATATATATATATAAGTATTATCTTATTTTGATGGTCACTTTGAGTATAAGTAGTCAACATACACTAACCCTAATCCCAACCCCAACCTAACAGTCTACTTATAATCTAGTGAGAATTAGTTGGCCTTAATGGCGTCTTTTGACTTTTGATGTTTCCTGTGATGGTGGGGTTTAGGGTAGGGGTACGGTAAGGCAATATAATAAGCAGTTTTTACAGTATAATTTACATTACACAAATGGAGAGTCCTCGTAAATAGGCATGGGATGATAAACGTTTTCAAGGTATCCCACGGTTTGGAAAAGTCAAGGTTTTAAACCGCCAACATTTTCTGCTATAGCTTTTTTTTTGTCTTTTATGACAACAGTATCTCCAGCAGAAAAGATATCCAAAGATGCTGTTTTAAATTGTGAAGAACTAATTGTGTTTTTGAAACTAATGAAGACTGCAGAAGTCAATGATTCATTTTAATTAATTAGCCCAACATGTTTACTGCTCCAAAATGTTTTAAATGTTTCTCAAAATAAAATATATTGTGTTCAAAATGGAAAAAAGCTTTAGTTTTTTACCCAGAAATTTTAAATATATATTTTATATCTGTAACCACAATACCATAATACCATGATATTTTCATCCAAGGTTATCATACCGTCAGAATCTTATACCAGCTCATGCCTAGTGTGTATACAGGTTTATGTGGTTAATAAGACTGAAATTGTTTAATATAATGGGTATGTATGACCTAGTTGACCTATAGATGGCCTAATTGAAAATGTTTAAAAACTAAACTTAATGATGTCTTTTGACTTTTGATGCTTCATGTAAAGGTTGGGTTATGAGTAGGGGTATGGTAAAGCAATATATAAGCAGTTTTGACAGGAGAATATACAAAACCTATAGAGAGTCCTCGTAAACCATATATACAAGTGTGTATGTGTGTATGTAAAAATGAGAAAAAAAAATCTTTTCCACACCAAATATATCCACTATCAAGCAATAAAAGAACAATTTTGGTTTCATAAAGAACCCCTTAATGACTCCACACACACACACACACACACACACACACACACACACACACACACACACACACACACACACACACACACACACACACAATAACTTTTCTAAAGACTTAAAAGAACCACTTTCTACTAGAAAACTTGTGGTAGAAACGGTAGAGAACATTGTGTGTTAAATGTTCTTCCTGCAACCAACTATGCCAATAAACAATCTTTATTTTATTTCCTTCTAATCAAATTCTCATCAGATAATGAGGCTGGATGAGGAAGTCATGATAATATGACATAAATTCCTAAAACCAGCTTACTCTCTGTCCATATTTCAGAAGAACCGATTTTTAAATCTTCCCATGACAGAAACCATTCATCTCAACAACATAGATTCAATCCAAAATGTAACAAAATGGATCTGTCTGGGTCACTGAATAGTCTACTTATGGCTTTAAAGAACAAACTTTATTGTAAATTGAATCGTATCCTTTTCACATCCATTTTGTTATAAAAGCAAATGACAATTTAAAAGTCACCATCTATATGTTAAACAAAACAATGTGTGCCTACCAAACATGCTCATTATGACACGTCAGTATTCAGTGACGTACATATCAAACAAAACCACGACCAGGTGTCTGCTTCAGATAATTAACACACAATAGTTCAGTGTATTTGTATACTTACTAGTGAGGTAGAAGACAACAGAAACGCAGACCAGGATGGCGAGCTTCATGGTTGTTGAGCGAGTTTAGAGTGGGAAACTCAGCAGGTGTTAAATATGTTTGTAGTCTGGGATTTCTGGTTATATACCTTTTGAAATAAACCAACACAAGCCCCTCCCTCTCATTGTTTCTGCCTACTCCGAAAAAAAACCTGATGGGCAACATTCATGTCATGGGACCACAAACAATGACTAAGAGTATCTGCTATCTGGGACTAAGGCTGTTTGTGGTTTTGTAATGTTGGTAAAAAAGCATTTGTCAACAAATAAAAACATAAGGCACATCTTCAGGATGCACTGTAGACTTGTTATACAAGGATAAAAGTCCTCTTGTCTATGGACATTAAGTCTAGCTGGATAATAAGGTCTCGTTTTACAAAGATGATGTCTAACTTCATTAAATCACAAAATGTTTGCTGTAGAAAATCATGGCTTGTTAACTGTAATTGATTTTCTGTTTGGCTTCATGTCTTGTTTTTAAAATGACATATTGGTTTTACTTCATATTTGATTTAGTTTGTTGATGGCCTCCTAAACACTAAGGATATTTTAAATACTTTTTACAACAAGGAAGCATTAAATTAAATATGATTTCTTGGGATAAATGAAGTTCGATTAAATTCTATTATATTTAGTTTCTCAATTTTTTAAATTAAATATAATTATTTGATCATTTGAATGAGTATTTAACTTTGAATTGATTTTAATTAATGAAAAAGTTAACACATTGCTTAATATAAGAATGTTCAGTGCATTTGCCTGTCTCTTTATAACTAGTTTCAGAAGCCACCAAACTAGGTCAGAGGTCAGGGAGACCTTGAGTGGAACTGAGGGCTGAGGACTGGAATCAACTGTTTCTATTGTTATTTCTAGTAGTTATTACTATCTAAAATGTCTAAAGTGATTTTTCTATTTTTACGGTTAAATCTTTTAAAGTGATTCTACTTTTATTCAAGATAGACTTTGTATAGTAAGAATATAACTGCCTGAATGTAGATTATACCAGTTCTTAACCAGTTTTGATAAAAACGTCTGAGAGTACACTCAGCCTTGGATAAGAAACAGATTATACTTTGTGTGTTCTATTTGATTGTTGATGCGTTTCACAGGTCTGGAGTCAGCTCTAATCAGTCTAAGGGATGTCTGACGTTTATGCTGAAGATATTGTTCAGAATTGTACGCACGAACCCCACTTGGAAATGTTCCTAGTGTATCTGTGTTTTAACCAATCAGATTAGAACACCTATATGTATGATGTGAGAGTTACGTGAGAGTAACGTTATGTGAGAGTATAATTGTTATTGATTGGTGATTGTAAGCAGAGCGGCCTAGGAACTCATTGCGAGTGTTGAAGCTGGCTTCTGCGGATGAAACTGCAAACTATCTTCAGTAAACTTGATTTACTTATTGAAATCTCTGACTCCGGCTCTTCTTCATCTGACAGACTGGTCATTCTTTGGGTTAAACTGTATACCATCCCTACAGCCTCTTATCTATTTGATGAAGCTTTACTTTACTGAATGTGTTCGTAACAGTATGTTATGATAACTATGTTACACTACCTGACAAAAGTATTGTCGTTGATCCCAGTTGTAAGATCACATAATAACTTGACTTTGAGTTGAACGCTTTCTTTGCCATTCCAGATGACTTTATTAGTAAGTTATTTTAGTCATTGCAGAGATGTATGGATGCAGTCCTCCAAGCTGATGGGAGTCAAACACAATATTCATTCTTTTTCCACTGCACCATGACTTTATATTCTATACTGTACATTATTTCTGTTAAGTGGAAAGACTTTTGTCTAAGCAAAGTCAGACATTACTGTCCCAATTAAATAATTACAAATCAAGGCATGATCATATTTTATTTTGGTAAAATAGGCATAATCCAGAGGCCTTTGTCTTTTATATAAGCCACTTCTGATAGCAAATGATCAACTAGAAGTCAAGTTATTATTTGTTGTTCCTAAAACTTGGATAGGCGACCACACTTTTGTCAGGTATTGTCCAACTTGTCATGAAACTTTCAATCAGGATATTAGGAAGGCTATATTAATTTATGTGGGGACAAACATAACTAAAACTAGCATTAAGAGAGCCATGTGTAATAACTTGATTGAGAGAAACCTTTAAACAATAAGTTTATCCAAATCATTTACTCACTCATGTTGCTCCAAACTTTCCTTTCCTTTTTTTGAAGAGACCGTATAAGTAGCAGAGGGTTGAAAATCATGAGAGGGAACACATGACAACTAAATTTACTTTTTCAGGAGCACGTATTAGCTGGATCTCGTTAAACTTCACTAGGTGGCATAAGCGAACCATGTAGCGCGCACGGGTCAACAGCGCGCGTGACAGTGCGCAGCCATCGCGAGAAGTGTAAATATTGAATGTGTCAAGACATGTCTGTGTGAATTATTTTAATGGTGCCAGGAATTAATAGAGTAACATCATAAAACACTAAATAAACCTCTTTGATAGGCTCACACAAATGTAAGACTATGGGTGTCGTGTATTTAAAAGGTGACATTCCGGTCGCATTATAGTGATTGTGGTGTCAAAATATAAAATTATAATCTATAACAAAAGTAACACATTGGCTTTACAATACACATTCCAAAATTCCCCTGCGCGCCCTCGCGTTCTAGCCGCGCGTACCCACAGGTTCGTTGACATCACGCGTGAACCCCTCCCCTGCCCGCGGCGGCGCGCTTTAGCGCGGTCTCGCTCCTCTCTTCAGATCAGCAGAATCTGTTCATCCCGAGACGGACAAGATGGCGAAGTGAGTGGGTTGCGCTTTGAAGAGAAAGCAGCGACTCACAAAAATTCTTCAACGTTAAAACGTCGGTTGCCTTGATGTTCGTTCAAATAAGCGGGAAAACGCATCTTTAAGAAGAAAAATCGCCCCTCAGAGCGAGGTGAATCGAAGAGAGCGTCGAGGACATCGACTCCTCCGTGTCCTTTCAGGCTAAGCTGCTAGTCAGCTATTCGGGGAATTGCTCAAGAGAAAAAACAGCCTCAACCTCAGGGGAAATAGTCTTGTTTTTTTTTTTTACTTAAATGTCGAGGCAGCAAAACTTATATTGAAACCGATGTCCGTTATCATCTTCATTTCGTCGTTGTGAGTTAAGGACACAGCTAGTAAGGAAGAGCCGTTTTTAGGCTAGCTAGCATTGTTTCTACTGGACTGAAGAAGAGAGCTGCCTGAAAACCTCGCCCGTTTACACAGTTTCAGTGTACTTCTCGGATTTTAGGACATGGCCAGCAGCAGTGGCTCTAAAGCCGAGTTTATAGTCGGTGGGAAATACAAGCTCGTTCGTAAAATCGGATCTGGATCCTTCGGTGACATTTATTTGGCAATCAACATCACAAATGGAGAGGTAAAATGAAATTGATGTGTAATTCTTGTGCTGAATGACTGGGATAAGAAGATTGAGTGGTTTATACGTGTGTCCAGCTCAACAAGTCTGATTACCAGAACATTAAAGTCCATATGGTTTTCAAACATATAGTTGGTGTAACGTTAGCCCTGAAAGATTAACGGATATTCATATTTGTACGACTTGTTTATGAGAAACCAATCAACGATAACTCGTTGCAGATTGGATTAAACATTTCTTTAAGATCCTGTCCTGTCAAATCTTTAACTATTTTCAATGTTTCGCCACTGATCTGTAAGTTTTTGGTAAATGAGCATTATTTTTATTATAATTTCAGGAGGTAGCTGTGAAATTGGAATCACAGAAAGCCAGACATCCTCAACTCCTATATGAAAGCAAATTGTACAAAATTCTCCAGGGAGGAGTCGGGATCCCACACATCAGGTGAGTAACTTCAGATTATATCAGACATTATTATGGATTTTGTGGTAACATTAGCTGAACTAGTTTGATCTGGCTGAGGGACTAAGGGTAGCTTAAGATCGAAAGCAACGCATCGAGGAGCGTTACAGAGTAACGTCTCGCATTTGTCAACGTATATTAAACGTCTCAATGGTTTATGCATCGATCTTAATGACATTAGTGTCATTACTGTTATGTTTAGTTTTACGCTTGTGATATAGCATCAGCAGGCTAACTAGCCCGTTCATTAGCGCTAGCTTTTCACCGCGTCGCTTGAAAGAACGGTGGTGAAATGTCTTCAAACAATACGTGCTCTGTAAAATGGATTATTATATTGTAAAGCGAGTAAGATTTGATCACTTATTACATGTGTTTGTGTGTTGCTGAGTAATGAGTAAAGAGCGAGTGGGAAATGGCCGCTGCTCTTTTGTTGTGTTTGTTCAACATGTCCTCCCTCTCGATCAGAAAATGGCGGATGAGAGAAAACAAGTTTCAGGGCCTAGCGAGTCTGCTGCTGTCTTCTCAAGGTGACTGAGCCTTACCAGGGCTGCTGTTTGTGTCAAAATGTTGATTCTTTTTCATATATATATATATATAGAGAGAGAGAGAGAAAAAAAACATGAGATAAAGGCTCACATAGGGTGCCTCAAGTAATTAATTCTAGTCACATTATAATTAATGACGTACTGTGACTGTATTCTCTGTCGCGTATTTTTCTTATTTTTATCTTAATTAATAAAACGTCATACTTTGCGATTGCAGAAGTTCCCTATTTCCCAATGTTTATAGGTGGTTGAGCTAGGGTAAATGTTTATTTGCTGTTTCCTCACAACTATGTTTGTTTTCTAAGCTACTTGATGTTGTGCCTTATTAACCTAGTTTAACCTTTATTTCAAGACATTTGAGAGCCTGTGGGTGAGTGGGCCTTATCTTTCTAAAATGCACTCAGATCAGATGACTTTGCATAAAAGAGCCAGAGAAACTTTTAATTAGTCACAAAAGGATTTTTGAATGTTTTGTGGAGATGAATTTGTTTTGTACCTAAGGTAGACGTTAAGATCTTAGATGTTAATTCATGTAACTGCAAAATTAAAAATTAAAGTAATATGGTAAGGTGTGTTCGTGTTTAATTGCCCTGGCACCCTGACAGATAAGTCTTTATCTTCTTTTTTTCCTCCCCTTGAAGCTCCGCTCTTGGCTTTATTACTTGGGTAATTAAAAATTAACTTTGCTGTAGATGTCAAATCAACAAGAAATAGCGTTTAGTTTCTATTAAACACTCTTCATATTCACTATGTCCCACAGATCTGAAATTTCTTTGAGGTGGAAAAGATACCAAGATAAATAACATGTGACCTTTAATGCATCTTTTAGAATTATATGTTAATCACAAAAGAATACATTTTATTTCAGTATTCAATATTGATTTGCATGACCAGTTTGATCCCATTCTTTCACCCCTATTCCCCTTAAGTTAATTGCATTTGCCTTTGAAAATTCACATAACAGCATTAAATATGGCAAAAGCTTAGTTTCTTGCAACGTTTCACACCATATTATTTCTGCTTAGCTAGCTTTCTTTCCTAGAAATGTCATAAATGCTTACCAGCCATGAGTTTTGCTAGTTTCACATTTAATCGTACACTAATATATCATTTAGTAAAGTAGTTCAGCTGACAAATTTCACCTGGTAATATCAGTATAAACAAGAATGCCCTGCCTTTGCCATAAATGACCTGCCATTACAGACTTGCGTTTAGGTGTCCATTTCTGTGGCATCTCATGCTGACAGAAATTTGAACTCCTGGACCATAGCTGGTTATTTAACCCTGAGCAATTAAGAGTTAGGTAACTTATGTCGTTGTTGGATTTACCAAACAATTTAAAAATGAGATTCAAGCAATAGTGTCAACTAAAGCCATCTTTATTAAACTTTTAAGTAGTTTCTTTAGTGCTTTTAATTTGAGTGTTATTTGGGTGATTTTTTTTTTTTTTTTTAAGAACTGGATTGATTTGTTTTAAAGCAAGTGTATTTAGTTATCGTAGGAGTTTTTTTCTCAGAAAAAAAGCCACTTAAACCACTTTATAATGACTGTATTAAAGTTTCCAGCGAATGATGTGTAATACCGGTTTCAGTCGCTGGTTACTAGAGCTTGGAAAACCTGCCATACGAGATCTTCCTCCCCCACACTACCTAAAATCACTCAGAGCCTTTCCTGATGAAAGAAAAAAACTTTGTGTGCTGTTCAAAGTCTATCATGTAAACTCAATCACAGAAAAGTGTCTTCTCACTCTTTTTAAATGTATATACATTACCATCACACCTCTTTGGGATTATTTAGTTAAAATATTCAGGCGAACTACACTTTTTTTTTCTTCAGCCTTCCTCTTAGTTTTGAAAAGAGGAAATGAGTTTCCCACAGAGAGAGGCCTGTAGTTTCCGTGAGCGATTTCTGTTGATATGAACTTCTGTAACTAGTTTAGATGACAGCATGCTTATGAAACGTGAGCTTTTATTAGGTTAAATTTAATGCATATTACATTGTTGTAGTCATAGAGGTATGTGAACGTGTATAATTTTGTACACACGAGCAACACTGATAATAAACTGGAATAAAAAAAAAAACTTTTCACTGTGTTCATAACAGCAGCTAGCATGAATGCCATTACTTCTGACATATAAACAAGCAAGAATTAGGAGTCGGCTTGTGGTTCAAAGTACATTTTGCATTGTCATTATGAAATGCTAGATGTTGGCTCTCTGGCACAGACGGCCGAATGAACACTAGTCTGCTGCTGCACCTTGTGTCTCCACAATACCTCTTTGTTTGGGAGACTCACTAGCAGGATGGTTGCTTAGAGACTGCTGTGGCAGTGTGTTCACTAAATGCATGACTCTTTTGAACCTCCACCTGCTCGATTTTGTTTGAGTTCTGATTGTCAAACTTGTGCTGATATTCGTAAGAACCCCCTAACTGATTTGATGCAGGATTTGGCTATAAACAATTTAAGTACGCTACTTTTTTCTTTTGTTCTGGGCTGTTCATGGTGGAGCAAAGTTGTTGAGTGGTGCTTTTGGTTTAAAGTGGTTTGTTAAAGACTTTATTGGCCTAGTTGCTACTGTGGACTCTACTCTGAGTCATGTCACCCAGCTGGATATATTGGATGCCATTGTCTAAAGGGTGTGCCATGTAACTCAGACACTTCCCTTGCTGATAAGATTTATGCTGCTTTGTAACATTACAGCTTAGTCAGCTTTGTTCATATTTAAGTGTTTTCATTTATTTGTAATTTCCTTGTTATAATTTCGTCTTGTATAGATAAGCAATATGTCATGCGTCACTGAATTAGTATGAAGGGTCAGCTCTTTTTGAGAAAAGCACAGCATTTTGTAGTTGTTTTGCAGTAATTACCATGTTTAATCATCTGTATGTTATGATGTTTTTCAGGTGGTATGGCCAAGAAAAGGACTATAATGTCCTAGTCATGGACCTGCTCGGCCCAAGTCTGGAAGATCTCTTTAACTTCTGTTCGCGCAGATTCACAATGAAAACTGTCCTAATGCTTGCAGATCAGGTAATGATTGGTTAACTCTTCCTTTTCGAATAAATTGCTCTATGGCAGGGATCACAAAACTTGTTCCTGGAGATCTGGTGTCCTGCAGATTTTAGCTCCAGCCCTGATCAAACAGACCTGAACAAGCTAATCAAAGTCTTACTAGGTATATTTGAAACACCCAGGCAGGTCTGTTGAGGCAAGTTGGAGCTAAACCCTGCAGGGCACCAGACCTCCTGGAACGAGATTGACCCCTGCTCTATGGCATAATGTTAATCTGCATGTTTTGCTTTAACAGATGATCAGCAGAATCGAGTATGTGCACACAAAAAACTTCATCCACAGAGATATCAAGCCAGACAACTTTTTAATGGGTATTGGCCGTCACTGTAATAAGGTAAACTTTCATCGTTTCCTTATTTAGTTTTATAATGATTGATTTCAAAGTGACATGGAGGATTGACTGCAAATAAAACTGCAGATCGCTAAGGTTTCCTGTTACATTGAGACACTTATGGACGTATACTGGCTTGGGAGCCTGTGTTAGTTATGTTGTTGCTCTGCTGATTCGGGATGGCTGGGATGTACAAAGATTATTTGGTGGGAAATCATAGGGCCAGAAAACGTAATACCGCAGTGAGTCCTTAAACACAGTGTTTACAGCTTAACTTATTGATGGTTTGAGAATTACCTGACGGTTGGGCTGTGGACATCTGTGCACATGGATTGTATGTCTTTCACTCCTCAAATGGAACTTGTGCATGATATGTGACTTGTGGTTGTTTTATTATTTTATATTTATTTTTTTTTCTCCCTCCGACTGAGAGCTTTTGAAGTGCTTTGCACTGTTTTATTTCTCTATTCAAATGTACAGAAGTTGCCTGATTTGTATTTTGTTTCCGATAACTCATAATTTTGAGCCCTTGCAGACAGGCAACATTTGGCAAAGTTAAAGCTTCATGTGCAAAATAAAACAATGACCTACCAGTACAAGCTCTGATGGTCGTCTAAAAGTTCAGACCAGTTTCCATTACAAATTCTGGTACTTTTTGGTACTTCAGTGAAGCCTGTATTACCATTTTTGGCAGTGCTGTCTAGAATAAATGTTTACCATTGTGTGTCTGTGTGAATGCCAGCCTCAAGCTTTTATTTTGATACATACACATGAAATTGTCACCCTTTTCACTAAAACACTGGTTGCACACGCTCTGCTTTTGGATGTGTAGCTGTCAAAATCCACCCTGGAAAAAAACAATTGCAGTGAATTCAGTTGATGGAAAGATCTGATTTAGTTACTGCTTTAGTGAGGAATCAAAAGACCTATCCGCTCGCATTATCCACTGCTCTCTGCTTACATCTTTCATGCGATCATTACCACTCTTGATCCTGGCCCCAGTAAAACAATTTTGTAAGAGTAACATTCTCAACTTGGAGAAATAGTAAAGCATGTGGAGACGTCTTGACCAAGAATGGTGCAGACCAGCTGGTGACATCAGTTCCACACAAGACAAGTCTAAAAATGGAAGTGTTTAAGAGTGAATTGGTTTCAAGCAGTGATATTTTCCCAGATTGACTAGAATGCTTCAATTCAAATATATAGATCGTTTCCTCACACAGTTCCCCCACTCTCGGTCACATTGTGGATAACCGTACTCAGCTCGGCACCATTGTAAACTAATGGCTTGTTTTGTTGCTTTACCCTGGGCTGCTCCTTTGAAATTTCCAATGTCACCTCCACCGTAGCTGTCCCATCTTGTCTTCTGTAACTAAACTAAAACTGTTTTTTTGCAATAACATGCAGGTTAAGTCATGCATCTCCTAAACTGCACGCTTTTATTTTTTCTTCTTTTTTCTTCAGAGCTTCAACCTACCTGATTTGGCCTCTTCACATGCCAAAGTATTCTAGCCTCTTCCTTACTGTAGGTGGTCTAATGATCTGTCAAACATGAAATTCAATATTTATCTTTCACAGGAGTTTAATGGGGTGGGGCTAAGTTTTGGTTGGTTGCATTTGTTCTCAAAGCTTCTCATGCCTATTTTTAAAACAAGTGCCCATTGTAGTGAATGGCCTTTAGAGTTTGCTTTTTTTAACCCTAGTTGTGCCATTTGTCTTGTTGGCCTCATGCTAAAGCTGTCTTGGCTGTTAATTAACATATGGCACAGCTAGTGTTAAATGCTTCCTATTGTTTTTGATAAAGCCTTGGCAAAGTCAAAAAAGAGAATCAGGCTTGGGAATAATTGGTTTATTTAAGGTATAAAACACTGGGTTGGGCGGCCAGAGGTGCCATGTACAGTTTGCCTCAGTGGCTCGAGAACCGAAGAGGCAAGCGGGCCCTGTAATGTATGCTCTGAAAAAAAAAAACAACAACAACACAACAACTTTAAGCTAGTGTCTGTACCTGGGCTTATGGGAAGACGTCTGCCATTAGCAGAGCCTCCTCTTAGTTTGAGCTAGGACGCTTGCTGGTGGATGAAGGATTGCCTTAGGCTTTCACTTCCCCTCCCTCTGCTCCTCCTCGCGTTCTTTTTCTGAGCCTTGGTGTTGCCTGTCTGCGCTGGCCGTGTGCGGTTGTCAGCAATACTGTTTGATGCACTGCACCCTCTATTGTCTGTTCAGTGTTTAGAATCTCCAGTGGGGAAGAGGAAAAGAAGCTTGGCTGTTAGTTCTTCTCAGGACCCATCTTTCTCAGGATTAAACCAGGTCTGAAACCTCAACCACCTCCTAATCGCCCAAAATTTTTATTTTATTTTTTTATTCATTTTTTTTTTCTTTTTGGAGTTCCTTTTTCCATTTGAATGTGATTTTTCAACAATAACCATTTGCGATTTTTGGCATTAAACCAGACACACATGCTAAACAGAACTTGAGATTAACTCCTAATCCAGATTGAAGGGATCTCTGTACATGAGGGGTGAAGGACTTGTTGATTCAGGATGAAACATGAAGTTCTCAGTCAAATGTCAAATTATTCTCTATCATAACACTTGCTTAGTTTTGTAGAGTTTAATTAGTTTGAAAATACCCCGTGCTCCTATTCTGATTTTTAAAATCAAGCCGTTTATGATGGAGTATTTGATTGGCCTTGTTTCACTGCATTGGGTGCTTGTTCTTGTTGTGATCTTGTTGCAGAATTCTTCTTTTCAGTTCGTCTGCAGCGCTTAATAGCACAGTTTTTCCTGAACCAGCCTTTTAATATTGGAATAATGCTGTTTGAATGCCTGGAACTAATTGCAAAACTTGCCACATAAAAATCGTGGCCTGGTATTGATGGGGCTGACCTTTTAAATTGATGCACATGATGTTGTCCTGAGATATGTGCTCCTCTTTATTAAAATATTCAGCTAAAACCAGGTATGATGTTTTATAATCAGCTCTTAAATTCAGAGTTTGTCTTTGGGCATCACATCAATTTGCAATCCTCTTCAAAGCACTGACAGTCAGTTAAAATAGTATAATATTCAATGTTTGCGTGGGTTTTCACAGTTGATGGCCAAGTACTTGTACCTTGGGCTATTTCCGAGGAGAACGGCTCTTACATAATTTGAAAATGTTTAAATCAGTTTAGCCGGAAAATCACTTCTTATTGAATTCTTCCTCTTTATTTTCACATAGAGTTTTGAATCTTAATAGTTTCCCGTTGGTTAAAGGAGCTTATTTGTGTGCATTGCTTCAGTTTCACTGTCAGGGGGTATTGGATTTACAATTTTCGCCAAAGTTTAACTAAATGTATGTGCATTTCTATTAACTTTTTCATGCTGATGACCTCCAGTAGCAAGTTCTAATTGGAATTGTATGGTTGGTATAACTAATTCCCCTGACTAGAGGAAATGTGTTTCAAATCCCTGGTTGAGCCAAGCAAACAGTGGCATGGCTGAGTGGATGCTTTACAATATGGCTGCTGCCTCAGTGAAAAACTGGTTGTGTGAGGTGATCTCGATAGGACTGCGGCCTCTAGGTGTGTGTGGGACACAGGATCTGACTGGCTTTCCACTAATGAAAATAATATTTCAGTCAATGAACGCCTCTTAGAGCTGACTCTTATTATATGGCTGCTTGGATAAAGGGCGTTTCATTTTCCAGTAAGCTTCATTTGCGTTGTAGACTCTGACCTTATTGCTTCATTGATTACACTCCCTGGATTTCATGTTTTTATTCTGAGCTCCAGGTAAAAGGTCAGCCAGCACACAGAAAGAAGTTGGAAGAAAATGATTTAAATTTTTTCTTGTTTGCAGTGAGTTTTAAAAATGAAACATCAGTGTTTGTGCTTTGTTTATATAGTTGTTCCTCATCGATTTTGGTCTGGCCAAGAAATACAGAGACAACAGGACACGACAGCACATACCCTACAGAGAAGACAAAAACCTCACAGGCACAGCTCGCTATGCCAGCATCAACGCACACTTGGGCATCGAGCAGAGGTGAGTGCTCCTGAAAACATGCTTTATATGATGTAAATCTGTATGACTATTTGTAAATCAAGTTATTCTCATATTAAATCTGTAATTTATTTTTAGGAAGTTAATACCTGCAAAAGCTTTCTTTTAACAATTAAAATATTGTAAAATTTACTTAAGATAGTGGTTTCTTTTATATATAATCTAATTTATTTCTTCAGCAATTGCTGTAGTCTTCAATGCCATGTACAATCTTTTGGGAAATGTTGAAATGCTGATTTGATATTCATATTTCTTAGTCCTATCAACGTTGAAAACAGCTTTGTTACCAAATATGCTAGTGAAAACCTTTTGTAGTTTGCAGATAAAAAAAACAAAAAACGTATCAGTTTTACGCATGCTTGCTGTATACATCTGTAAAATTCTAAAGATAAAATTATTAGTTACTTGAAAGTTGCTCCTAGTACTTAACTCTGAGGTCTTCTGCAATAACAAACAGCACCATTAATTTGTGGTTGTGACATGCTTGAGATCTGAAATGTTATTTCTTGACCTTTACTGAAAAGTAGCATGTCATTGATTACCAAGTTAATTTGAGGATCAAATTGCTCATGCTTCTCCCGCCTGCATTATAAACATACTAATTTTACATCCTTGGTATAATGCTGTGTTCACACCAGACGCGGAACGCACGGATAAATCGCGCTATTCGCGCGTAAATAGCCTCATGAACATTTAAGTTTACTCGCTTCATTCACACGTCAAACCCCGCTTCATTCGCGCGTCAAATTCACTTCAGAACAGACGCGGATTCGCGTCTTCTATCTGCCCTGTGACTCTAGCTTCATAGCTAAAGGGCTAACATTGATTTTATGAAGAAAATAACAGTGTTTATGTGCTTTATGAAGGATGATAAACGGCGTCGATACGTTTAGAGCCGTGTTTGAGTCAACTACATCCATTCAGAGGTGCATCCAGCTCTTTAAGCTCATAGACTCCTCCAGAAACTGAACCTGGCTGATGGAGGTTTTCAGCGGTGCTTCTGACTGAGCCCAGCTCAGTTTGATGAACTTCTTGTCTGTGTCTGCTGGGGGATTTCCCCTGGGACACCGACAACAGGCGATACGTCACAATCACGCCCCCACAAGAGCAAGCTCCTGATTGGGTAACGCGGCGCGAATGTACGCTGAAGTTCAGATTTTCGAACGCGAGGGATTCACACGAAACGCGCATTAAGCGCGTCAAACGGGCAAAACGCTCAATTCGCGCGTATCGCGGCGCAGGATGTCTATTCGCGCGTTTGCATTGACTTAACATGTAAATCACTCGTGCTTGATGCGCGTTCCGCGTCTGGTGTGAACGCAGCATAAGGGTTAAGTTTTTTTTACATTTGTTGGTCACAGTTATACTTAAAAACCCTCTAAATCTGATTTTTTTAATCTAACTTTAACAGTCGTCGAGATGACATGGAGTCGCTAGGATATGTCCTGATGTACTTCAACAGAACCAGCCTGCCTTGGCAGGGACTGAAGGTAAGCACAGAGCTGATCAAGCATTATTATTAATATAGCTACATCATTTTAAATAGGAACACACAGCATGACTTAAGACGTCTATTTTTTCCCCTCTTTTTTTTCTTTTTAAAAGGTATTTTCTAATTGAAATGGTTTAAATGTAGGTCATACATTTAAATTATTATTATTTTTTAATTAATTAAATTTCTTTTTTTCTTTCTACGGTTTTGTGAAATCTCCAAAAATGAATGGACTAAAAATTGCTAGGCAGCATGAAACAGGCCAACAGGTGGTCCCTGAAAAAGTGCTGTAAATCTTCTTTCAGCTGGGTTATTTATGTCCCCCAGCACTGTGGGATTGCACACTGATGAACAGTCAGTACCAGATCACAGAGTGCAACAATTTCATTTTTTGCCCCCAGGCTGCCACAAAGAAACAGAAATATGAGAAGATTAGTGAGAAAAAGATGTCGACCCCTGTTGAGGTGTTGTGTAAGGTATGTGATATTCTTTATCCTCACAGCAAGGCTTTTCATACATGCTAAAAATCTCTGCTCAATCTTCTATTAGAACGTTGTGATGAAGTTTCATTAGTATGTAAACGAGTTCTCAAAAACATTTAGCTCAGGTAACAAGGCCAACTTTACCATGATGCTTGGTAATCATTTAGGTAGTTTTTAGATATTTGTGTAGTTCTGGTGTATAATAACTTTTATTATTTTGTGTGACAGTGAAAATTATGAAGATTAACATTTAGGTTCATTCTTTTATTTAAACGCAATCTGTTCCTTGCGCTCATATCTATCCTGTTTTAGGCCTTCATGATACTTCATGATGTCTGACAGCGTGTTAACTCTGGCAGTTTTGTAAATTGCGCTTTTGTAACATGGGTTTGGCTCTTTCTTCAGGGTTTCCCAGCAGAGTTTGCCATGTACCTGAACTACTGTCGTGGGTTGCGGTTTGAAGAGGCGCCTGACTACATGTACCTGCGTCAGCTTTTCCGCATTCTTTTCAGGTGCTCTTTAGTTTTCTCTTATTTCAACACTCCCAGCTGGGCCAAAAACAGACATAACACACTCAAGATAAAAGTTTCCACATCTTTATCAGTAAAGGCTAAGGTCAGTTTGACAGGAAAGGAAATCCATAAGTAGGGCTGGATGATATCGCAGGTTTTATTTGGTTTGTATTTCTATTTTATATTGAAGTGCTTTTTTATTGTAGTTCTAAAAAAATTTAACGTCTTGAAAAAAACATTCTGCTTAAAGTTAAAAACAAGTTGCATGTATCGACATGAATTGCTATTTCGTACATCATATTCTTTGCACTAAGAACTTAAAGACAATTATGGACCCTTTTCACAAGCATGTTATGACGGGTTTAACAATTATCAGCACCTTAAATCCTTGAAAGTTTCAAATATTTTAATTTTTTTCATTTTATACGCATTAACGTTCAAATGTATTTATGTGTGTAGGATATATTCCTTGCTTCAAATAACAAATAATGAATTACTGCTTTTGTAAGGCATTTGTAATGTGGCGTCTATAGGACTGGACAGTAAATTTGATGTTATTCCCTCCTCTGGCTGCCGTCATCAGTCTCACACACTTTCTTTTTTCCTTTTTCTGATCATATTTATAAGTTCATCGTGGATTTTGTTTTTTTATTATTTGAGCAAATAAGATAAAAAAAAAATGTGTTTGTTGTATTCTCCCATGCACTGCTCTCTTAGTTTACCTACTTATGACACCTTGCGCTAGTGAGAAACCTGAAATGTGAAAAGAGTCTTTTGTAAAACAACTTGTTTTACTCCTTACATGTGTTTTTTTTTAATAATATAAAATGACTAACTATAATTTGTCTTATCTAATATGTGGACATTCATTTTTAAAATGTGATGCATTTATAAATTGCAATGCAAGAGAGCTATTATTAACCGTAATTAACAGCACATTTCAAGCTGTATTCACTATGTATATGGGCAAACATACAAGTTCTTTAGGGGCCTATGCATTGCACTGTGCAGCTTGTGACTTCTAGTACCTCATGCTTAAAACAGCATTCTAAAACAAGGTGAAAGTTTAATCAGTGTCTCAATGGTTTCCCTTATTTTACTGCCCAAGACTGAAATTGTGTTTGTCAAGATACAAATTCATCTTGTGTTATTATCATTGTCATTGTCAAGGTGTCCAATAGTGCCATGCAATTTTAAAGAAAATAGTTTGATATAAATAATAGCAAAACATAGTCAAAAAATTACCTCTGCTTTTACTTCTTTATTTCTGTAATTGTGAAGTCTCTTAATTATTCAATTTCTATGGGTGTACTCACTCCTGCTTGATCTTCTCCAGGACTCTGAACCACCAGTATGACTACACATTTGACTGGACCATGCTGAAGCAGAAAGCAGCACAGCAAGCGGCCTCCTCAGGGGGACAGGGGCAACAGGCACAAACCCCCACAGGCAAGCAAACTGACAAACCCAAGAGTAACATGAAAGGTTAGTAGCAAACAGCCAAGCGACGTTTTGAGTGCAAAAAAAAAAAAAGACAGAGACACCAATTGCTTATGTTTGTAAAAAAAAAAAAAAAAAAGTTGATTTGGAACATTTGCTCCCCAAAAGATTCATGAATAGTAAAGAAACGGTGTTAGTTCAAGGATGCACCCCAACTAAAAAAATATATATACAATAAAAGAAATGCTAAAAAAAATCAATTGGTATGTTTTGCAAAAGCAAAGACGTCCTTGGGAAATTTGACTACTAACTTTGAACCAAAAATGTCTATTCTTCTCTGGGACGAAGGGTTGGCTTCATAATCTTTTTCTGTCGATGTCAGATAACCATCCCTTGAATTAACCCCTTTCCAATGGGATGCTCTATTTGACAAATTTCTCCCAATCATTGTTCCTGGATCTAACACTTGTTAGTCTTGATTATAATGGTCTCTTCTGTACAAAAATGGATACGTGGGAGTGATTTATTTTTTTTTCTAACCACAGACTAACTCTGATCATGCCATTTTCACATCTCTGCACTGATTCTTACTGTACTATTCTGTATGCTTGGTGTTAAGGGGACTGTAATATGCTATTATGTCGAAGCTTTTGAATGTTCATGTAATGTGATGATGACTCAAAGGTAATGTTTTTGTGATTCGGGTTCTCTACATTCTACAGAACGTTGTAGGTATTTGGCTTGGGTTCAGTGAAGTGTTTTGTTATGCGTTTGACTATTTCAGAGGCAAAACTTTTAGCAATTAATAAGGATGTTAATAAGCGCATAGAGTCTGTTTTCCACTACATTAGTGATAAGTAGTCCTGGTCCAATGGTGAAAGCTTTAATGTAGTCTAAAGCTGTTGTGTGTTTAATGCAGAGTAGGCTTGACACGTAGAAGGGCACAGTTAAGTGGAAAAGCCCCTGTCACTTCTCCTCCACTGATGTGTCCTTTAGTGCCCTGTTAAAGTTAGACTTAAGCAATAGTTGATATGCGTTTGAGTGTTTCTCAATGTTAATAATTTACATCCCTCAGACTTTACATTGACATTCTTCTACCTAGAAGCTGTATTTTGTAAAGTAGCATTTAGTTCCAATTCACAATTTCAGAACTGATGTTGATGTCTGTTAGATCAGTGATTCCTAAAGTGACTTCGCGGGACAATGACAGGGGGTCGCTTGGTGATTTGAAAAAAAGTCAAAAAGTAACTTCATTAAACTAATATGCTGTGTAAATAGACGCGTGAACATTTTGAGTTTACTTCCTTTATTTGCGCGTCAAATTCACTTCACAATAGATTCGGATTTGTGTAATGGGAGGGCTTCCGTCTGCCCGGTGACTCTTGCTTTGTTGCTAAATGGCTAACATTGGATTTTATAGAGAGAATTGTTGTGTTTGTGCTTTATGGAGCCTGAAAAACACAGTCGAATTGCTTGGAGTCATGTCTAAGTACACTAAATCTATTCAGAGGGGCACCCAGCTCTGTGGGTTCATCAACTCCTTCAGAAAGTTTACCTGGGTGATGAAAGCTTTCAGCAGTGCTTCTGTCTGAGCCAAGCCCAGTTTGATCAACTGTTGTCCTGTGTCGGCAGGAAGATTACCCCCCAGGACACCAGCAACTTGAGGGATTGGCATGTCAATCGTGCAAAATGCTCAACTTGCGCCACTTAACCGGTGCGAATTGTGTCATTCGCGCTGCCTCATTTGCACGTTATGCGCTGCAGGATGTTTATCCACGCCGTTGCTTTTACTTAACATGTAAATCACTCGCGCCTGATGCTTTCCGCGTCTGGTGTGAACGCAGCATGAGAATTGCAATATTTTAACCATTACCCACAGAATATAAAAATAGTAGTTTTTAATAATAAAAACAACATTTATATGAAAAGCCAACAGTCCTTAAATTGTTTTTATAGGATCAGTGTGTTTACGTTAGATTAACAACAGCGCAATATCATCAGCTGCATCAGATTTTTTTTTTTTGTTTGTTTTAGCCCCAGGTTAAACCTTCTGACACATTTATATAAATCAAATACATTAAAAATAAATACAGGCCAAAACTTAACATTGAGAATGATCTTTTGAGAGGCAATCTCCAAAGTTAAACCAAGAATAGACTTGTGCTGAAAGCATTGTCCACCAGTCCCTTTAGTTGAGGTTAATATTAAAATAAACGAATTAATAAATGACTGTAAAAATGATATGGTAGTTAGACTGTTGCACTTTTTTTCCCTGTATGTTGTCAATATGCTCGCATTTATATAGGCTTATTGTTGTATGAGCAACGTTTGCATATTTACAACTACCAAAGAAGAATTTGGGGTTTGCAAGTCACTGGCATTGTTATTTTAGGGGTCACAGGCTGAAAAGTTTGGGAGCCCCTGTCTTGGATAATGCAGATCTGCAAAAGTATATTGTTTTTTTTTTTGGGTAGTGTTAATTCAGTATTGAAAACAAAGAATATTATTGACTTTTTCTGAATTTAGATCTTGACAATTGTTGGTGATTTGTAGTAAAACGATTCTGAGAATGTAATGCATAATTATTTTTTCAAAGAATTTTTTTAGCTTTTGGAGTAAGCATGAGTTTTTTTCTTCCCCAATTTTTTCACTTTAGAGTTTAGATTTATGATGATATAATCAATCATAAAAGGATAAACCGAAACAAATGGTAAACTCTCTTTCTGCTAATGTGAGTGCCTTAATGCTGAAGTTTCTCAAATTTAAACAATTATAATCATTGATTGTGATGGGCATTAATAAGCAAAATAATTGTATCTATCAGTTTAACTTTTTTCTAAAACGAAAATACAATTCTCTGACATTTAGTCAACTAAAACTTGACTAAACAATAAATGTGGCAGTTTGACCTCAGAAAACAAGGAAGCTAAACTAAAACGTAGTTAAGTTGTTTTGCAATGGATGCATATTGCAGTTAGGTTTAAGTATATCTTCCTCTAATCTACCTTTTTCTGGACTACATTAAATCATGTTTTCATGACCAAAAACATTACATAAATTCCCAAACATCGTACATTCGTCAAGCAGGCAAAACATGCATAAGCGTGGGCACATTTAGATTTGAGTATTTGTTTTTTTTTCACCACACCATAGTTTCACTTTCTTTCAACATTAGTTTCGGCTTGATGCTCATCATAAAACTTATTGATAGTGAATGGCACAATCTATACGTTTTATGCATATTATTTTGCAGCTTTTTTTCTGTTTACCCATATTAGAAGCATTTTAGTTTCACTCAATACACATTTAAATGATTGTTTACTTTATTTTAGCTGAGGCTAATAGTCAAATTTTTTATAAATTTGGAATTAAATTACTTGTTTATTTTTTGGAGTAGGAAATGAAGATTAAAAAGCAAGTGAACAAGGTAGTTGATTCCTTTTTGCATTCCCCTTTAAAGCCTAGATGGCCTTGTATGGTGGTTTTAATATAGAGACAGTGCGCCGTTAACCCACGCTGGCAGCTTTTTCCCAGCAGAGCTTTGTGATCTGTTTCCTCTGTGACGTTACACATAGCTTTTAGAGTCCTCTTTTTTTTCAATCCCATGGCTCACGTCATGCTCTTTGTTCATAAACGCTTGGAGAAAAGCAGGAAGACTGTTTTACACTGAAGGTTCGTCCTGATTTAAGGCAGGAAACAACTGCTGTTAAAAGTGGCTGAACTAAGAATAGCATTTGCTGATGAGGTGGCATTGGCCTAATCCTTTGTGCACGCTGTTTTAGTTTGATTGCACCCCATCCCCCTTCAAAAGCCGGGATGCACCACGTGCCAAGCTTAAAAGAAAAATAGATATGATTGTATTATTTAGGTTGCAATAACTCAATCTGTTGAAAAATGTGCAGAAGCTCAGAAGTGGAGTACTGTCCCTTTAAGAGCCATTCTTAGCTTAACAGCCAGAGCAGAGAATTTAAGTGGTGTGTGTTTGAGCTTGAAAGAACTTTATTTGCTAGGGATTGTTGGTTTCTTGGTTACCAGCACTACTTTGTTAGTTCTGCAACAACATAGAGCTGGAGCTTGTGCTGCCGTATTATTGTGGGATTTGTCCTGAGAGTGCTGCGTCAGCATACTTGCTCACGCTCCATGAATGCAGACTTGTCAAGCATTTAATTTTCTTCCTCTCTTCAACTCGTCATTTTTCACTCCCTCAAATGTTTCATTAGCGTCCATAGAAATGTCAAGGCTGAGGTAACTGTACTCTGCAAGTAGTAGCAGCTCGAAGCTAACAATCAGGTTACTTGGCAACCGGTTTGGATCGTCTTTCCATTGTGGATTAGTTATAAATGACAGAAGCAGTGACATGGGCGATGGCTTGGGTTTTGGATTTTAAGAATTTATATCGTATTTGCAGTCATCTAGCAGTACGTTTCTAAAAATGACTCTTTTTGAACTGAATCCGTTTGTTTAGCGCTGTTTGATAATGGGCTGGTTGCCTGAGGCAGAAGCTCATTGATTTTTAGAGGCAGACCACAGTTGAGTGCCGGAAACATTACTACATGCGTCAGAGGTTTGTCAGACTGCTGGGTTTGGTGTTGTGTATGTACACGTTTTAAAATGACTTGCCGTGTTCGGTTTTTCACAGGCAATTTTTCAGCCACCCTTAATATAAAAGCTTTCGTAGCGTTAAAAATCTGTATCACTAACTTTCTTGCATGGAACATAACAGATATTTGTCAAAATATCATGGTAAATATTTAGATCTTACATGAGGCGTACACAAATATAAATGACACAAGTGCTTTTATATACATTGAAAGCATATTAAATTTAAGTCAAGTGCTTTCAACTAACTTTTGTGAAAATAAAATTTTTAATTAGGGATGATGTAATGTTCAACTGTCCCATTGTAAAGCTGCTTTGACAAAATAATTGTGTAAAAGCTTCAAATCAAATTGAATATTGCACTTATTTTTTTATTACTAAAGTTTTTGTCTGTGGTCCAGATACAGATGAGTCGTGTTGGTGTATAGGTCACAGTTTATTCAATTCAAAACAATGTAAAATGCTTATTACCTGAAATAACTCTTTAAGAACATTGTAATATGATTTGGTTCACACTTGACACAAAGTCATTTTAATTTAACAACAGTATTCAAAACAAGGAGTGAAAATTTTTGAAAAAATTAAATGTCTGCTAGTTTAATGTGACGTCACTAGGCATGGGCCGTTATCAGTTTCTGACGGTATGAAAACCTTGAATAAAAACATCACCGTATTGTTTACTGCTGTAAAACATTTAAATGTCTTAGTAAAAACAACTTTTTACTCATTTAACACAATATATTACATTTTTAGCAAACATTTATAATATTTTGAACAGTAAACAATGTCAGGCTGCATAACTTAAAAAAATCATTGACTTCTGTGATCTTTATTAACTTCAAAAACACTGATTTCCTTACAGCATAAAAAAAACACTTAATTACAATCATCAAATTTTATCTTAGAAAAGGTATAACAAACTTTTCTGCTGTTTTAATACCTTGACTTTCAAACTGTGGTAAACCTTAAAACCGCTCATTGTCCCATGCCTAGATGCGGCTTCCGGGTACAAGCGCTCTATCAAACTGTACAGGGAGACTTAACAAATGGTAATAATAAACGTCAACAAAGAGATGTAGTACTTTTTGAAAATCATGATCAAAATTTATATCAATGTCTAATATCAGATGGCCAGAAAGTGATTAATTTTTTACAAACTGTTAAAATATGGGTGTCTGTGATGCACCAAAATCCAGACCAGAGACTGTTGTGTACACCATGATTTTATATAAAATTCACTTTAATGTGACATGACTAAAATTGGTTATAAACTAATATTTTCTCAGTTCAAATGATTAGCAGCTTAGACCTGGAAACAGAATTTCATAAGTCACGACTTAAAGAGCGTATATAGAGGCAGTCAATAAAAACATTTATAAGGACAGGCCTAAAATGCATTAAAGCAAGTCTACTGTGCGATACAAATACTGTCAGATTTGCGTGCTTGACGTACATTTATTTAAATAAGTGGCTTTGTTTAAGCCATCGCATATTTCGGTTAATGAAAAAAATTTATTATTTGTTTTCTTTCATTGGACTAAAGTTTTAATTGAGTTCCAACCTTGGAAAGCAATGTTAAAATTATTTAAAAGCTCTCCAGTTAAATACAGTGTTCTTGAAATCGACTCCTATTACATAGATAGTGTTGCTTTTTATGGCTAGTAGCATCATCGATGTTGTTTTAGGGAATATTGTCAGGCCCCCCTCCTTGCGTGAAGTCTTCTTGATAGGACAGCTGCTTTGCTCTGAGCTGGTTTTATTTAACTGTGTGCAGCAGCTGACTTGGTTAGGTTTCAGTCCACTATAGTAGTGTATGAGTGTGCAACACATCCATGTTTTTGTTAGCAAACGTCTTAGTTGCTACTATTCTTATCACTACAATTATGCAGTAATTCACAGGTAAATGGCAAGTCTGGACTCTTGTATTGAAAGAGTTTGATTCCATTAGTTTGACCACATAAATGTTTTTCTGAGGTTCTCTGCAGCAAGACTTCACTGCAGAGAAGGACTGATGACTTTGCACTTTCTCTCTTCCAGGACTGAATAATGCTTTGACTGGGTTGGCCGCATTGATTACAGTAGCTCAACCCCATTCACTCTGTGCCGCTAACTCTTAACCCTCTCCTCTCTATCTATCTGTTTCCCTGTCTTGCAGGTTTCTAAGCATTAAGACAATGTAATGAAGCAGAGCAGAGTGGTCGTAGCAGGATTTGCCTTCCAATCACACCCCGGCATCTAGGATCAAATTCACCAGAACCTGCCAGGCACTGTGGGCAACCTTTTTCCTGTTAAAGAACTTTCGTTCCATATACTATATATGTAATCGGTATATATAGATAAGATGCTCCGCATATATCTATATATTGGTATGTATATACTATATCCACACACAGAAGCAGGCTTGGTTTGGAGTTGGAAGCTGTAGCCTTTTCTATTGTCCTGTCCCTTAAGACTTTTCGCCCCCTCCTTCTTTGAAACGGAAAACTGTAGAAAATGGGGATGTAATTGCGCACATGCCAATGTTTTTCCCGAGTTTTCTCCATCAGGAAATCTGTTTGGGGTCCTTCCTGAATTCTTGGTTGCCCATCAGAGCAGTTTTGGCCCCCTTTTCCCCCTTGTCATCGTCACAGAGTGTGGCACGAACCCAGACACTCTTCAGAATGGAGACATCCGAGACACATTTTCATCCTTTAATTTTTTTATTCTTCTTCCTTTCTTCAAACAAAGTGAAACATCTGAGATTAAACCTGATTTTGTTTTTCGTTCTTTCTTTTTCTTTTGGTTTTGTTCCAAGTGTATCCAAATAATTAAAAAGGCAAACATTGGGTTTTGTTCTTTTTTTCTAAAAAGGTAATTACGATTCTGCCTGCTGATATGTGCTAGAGAGCTTCTAATGTGAAGATTAAAAACATTCTAGTGACTACTAGGTTTCTCTTTAGAGCGCTGCATTAACTATATTGTACTTGGTATTCTGAAGTCTAAAAAAAATAAAATAAATAAAAGAGTAAACTCCACTAAAGCATATTCATTACAAATTAGGCATCACTCTGAACTAAACCTGTATGTTAATTGCTTAGATGAAAATTGTATGCATCGATCTGGTTTTTTTTCTCTCTTTGAAAAATGTTCATGTTGATTGAGAAAGTAACCATTCGTACGATTAATTGCTATGATAGGCTCAATGTTTTGTTTTCGAGAGAAAAAATGTGCTCACTCCACCCTTCCCATTACCATTTTATATGCATATATCTTTTTTTATCAGAAAAAATGATACTTTTTCAGTTTTATAGAGTTGTCTTTCCCTGTATTGAATCGATAATTTTTGGGGAAAGGGCTTTTTTTCTTTTCTTTTTTTTTCTTTTCTCTTTTTTTGTTTGTTGCTGCTTTTTGTGATGAAGCAGATCCTCTTGTAAAATATCTCTGGGACTTTTTCTCTCTGCAACAAATTTTCGCTGCTGTATGGTAGCATTTTTTCCCCTCTCGATTTTCTTTTCTTTTTTTTTTTTTTTTTTTTTTCATTGCAAAGAAAATGTTGGAGGGTTTCCTTTCTATATAGTTTTGGAGTCGAGCAGTATGATTTTTCCTTTTTGTTTTCTTCAGCTTTTAGCCAGGACAAATGCACACCAGTAACTTGGCTTTTTCTTTTCGTTGTTTTTCTTACCTCCAAACTGTCCCTCAGAACCAGCTTTAAGTACATTACAGCTGGACAGTCTATAAAAAGTGTAATTTATTCCCTTTTAGCATGTCAGAATAAATTAAAATGACTTCTCAGAACTGCTGTCCCAGTCTCTGTAATTTAACAAAACGCACATGACTTGGATTACTGATAGATTTTCCCCCTCTCCTTTCCATTTGTTCAGGTATCTGTCTCTAGTCTGCACATCTATTGTTGAAGTACCACATAACCAGGCTGTTTTATTTTTATTTGAAACAGAAAATCAACATGAAATGCTTTAAAATGGAGCCAAGCAATTGCTTGGTTCTCAAAAAGATGTAAAGCTTTGAATGAATTTGTCTCAAGTGTTAAAAAGGGACACGTTTATTGAAATGAGGTATTGCTGTATTCCAGGAAAGCAGTTCTTGTGGGGATGATGGGTAGTTCTAGGTGCTTGTGGTGTTTCAGATTTCCAGGATTTCTATCTGTAAATATTAAAATGGCTTCAAATGGCAGGTGTGGAAATTGGTTAATGTGCTTGACACACCACAGAAACAACTGCTTCAGTTCATTTTTCTCCTCAATCACATGTCAACGTTTTACATTATTCAGCAAAGGGTGATTAATGCTTTTATGCGGTACCACTTATAGCTTTTTTTCTCGCAGCAAGGCAGCGTCATTATCAGACTTGCTTATTGAGTCATCAGTATAGGTTTGGCAAAAGCAAAGTTATAACTTGCCTCTTATTAAATTGTGTAAATCACAAACTGGTTTAAAATATGCTGGGGAAAGTCCTGTTCACAACAAAAATGATAACTAGTAGGGCTGCATGAATCAAACATTGTGATATTTTTATTATTCTGCTAATATATATTGTGATATGAATTCAATTTCATTGCACTCTCAGAAATAAGGGAACAAAATTTGTCACTGGAGTGGTACCTTTTGAAAAGGTACACTTTTGTACCATAGAGGTGGACATTAGTACCTTTTAGGGCACACTTCTGTACCTTTAAGGTTCAGTTTTTTAACTGTGAGGTATATGTTTGTACTTTCTAGGTATTAATATGTACCTTTAAAGACCTGTTAGGTGCAAAAAATGTACCTTTTGAAAAGGTACCACCCCAGTGACAGATTTTGTACCTTCATTTCTGAGAGTTTAGATGAGTTGAAAATTTGAAAAGAAATTAACATTTTAGATGGATTGGGATGAATCTGTAGTGCAGTGCATATGCATAAAATATCAAAAGCAATACAGAATAAGACGCTAATTAAATAAACACCAATTTATTGTTTTCCTAAAAGTTTCATTTCAATGGTTATTAATTGGTCAGTTACACACAGTATAATTTCTTCTCGGCCTGAATGCTTTAAAAAAAAACCTCATACAGTCATAGGCCTCAAAAAGCACTTTTTTTGTCTGCCAAATGATTAACTATAATCCAGCCTCAACATTGCGTATGTTTACATTGTGACTGATGTTCACGTTGTGAATGATTGCATTCCGATATCAATGCTGAAATTATATATTGTGCAGCCCATAGCTTCAACACCAAGAAACCGATAAAGCTGCGGTCACACTGCACTTTTCTCCCATAGACTTCCATTCATACGCATGTGAATGCGTCAGACCGGAAACGCAAGCTTGTGCTACAAGTTTCACAGTTCTCTGCGTTGGAGAGTTCAAACTTGGTCAGCTGTGACCTGCGAAGACCAATCGAAGATCAAAACCTGACCTCTCTGTACAGAAATTTAAGACATGGACCAATCACTCGCTTTCTTAATGTTTACTCTTGTTTAATCCTGCTCCTTTTTGCAGCTCCGTAAAACAGATTTTGCCCAAACTGTAGTATGACCACAGCATAACCACTTTTATTTGTGCTGCAATTTTGTCATCTGTTATAAATCTTCAGTCTCTTAAAGTTCGGTGGATAATGATTGGTTTCGATTATCAGTAATTAGTTGTGAGCAGGGGACTCTGCTATTGTTTTATTATTATCAAAACAAAGCGCTCTAGTTACAGAAGTACAGTCTCCATTTTGCACAGGCAAATGTATTTTTAACCATAATAATTGATAAACCTTTAGACAAGTTGTGAGCTGGAAGATCAAGTGTATGCTTTTGTAGACACTGAACTTTTCTGGACAAATTCCTCTATTAAACAATTGTTTAAGTACTAATTTACCATTAAGGGGTAGTTCACACTAAAATAGAAATGTCCTCTCCCTCAATTGTTTCCAAAGAATTTCTTGCTGTACTTTGAAGAAAGCTAGAAACTGGTAACCACCGACTTCCAAGGAAAAACCAGTACTATAGAAGTCAATACTTACAGGTTTAAAACTTTCTTAGAAATGTCTTTGTGTTTCAGAAGAAGAAAAAACTCAATGTTGTGACCAGTGAAGGGCAGTTAATGATGGCAGAATTTTAGTTTCTCTTTAAGGCTGTACAATTTTGGGATGCTTAAGATGCAGCAAACTGCACTTTTCATTGGTATTTCTGAACAGTGACCAGTGTTTTACGACAGAAATTTACTGACACTTTCTTAAATAGTAGAACTGCAAATCATTTCAACTCTCAGTCCCAGATGTGTAGAATGATTTGAAATATGTTGACATCACACTTGTGTCAGTTGTGTCACCTGGTATAGTAAACCGCCACTGGGTTCAAACTTCAGAATCTTTTAAGTTGTGGGTCAAATTAGTGGGTTTTATAAGTTGTGTCCCATCTAATGCAGTATAAATATACAGTGCGATGTCCATGATATATATTTTGGGGCCATTTATGAATACTTCTTGAAAGAGTAGCACACTAGTACATAAATTGGATTGCACATTATAAATTGGATCTTATTCTACATAGTATGTTGTTTTGGATGCACTGACAGTTCAAAATGTCAGAATTAAATTATATGTAAATCAAAACGATGCCTCAACTGCATGCTGTTTCTACTTAAAATGCAACAGAACAGAAAACCGTTACGCAAATTGGGCACACAAATCAATTGTGTTTTCACATAGTAAGGGGGGAAGAATGTTGTTCGCGAATGCACTGACATTCTCACATCTTAGTCGTTATGAAAAAATTATATGAAAATCTGAGATCCAGCTCATCATGACTAAATCATAACTAGAATTATTAAGGTGTACCTCTGGAACCTGGCGGGAAAAAAGTGGTCAGCCATTAATGCTTGCTATCCTCGGTGTGAACAAGTCTTAAAAGAAAAAGTTTATTCAAACATCAAAACTTGCTTTCCATTTATTCTGATTAAATTTGTTTTTAGATTTGTTTTCATATTGGTTTCCATACAAGTTTCGAAGAATGTGTGACATCTATAGTTCTACATGTTTGAGCAAAAATCTTTTAAATAATCGAGTGAACTTCTTTTAAAAGGCTACACTTTTTATTTTGGAAACCGACAATTCCCCTCGAATTCAACAGTTGAATTCAGCTGATCTCCGCATCTGGCAGGGGCACTTTTTGTTTAGCTGTTGTTACAATCTTTAAGATGCTTAAAGGGGAGGAGAGTAGCATTCATTTTGTGTGAAACACATAAGCAAACACACAATATCAACAAGTAAAGGACAAAATACAACGACTAACTAAATGCAATAAAGTGAGTTTTATTTACAAAAAATAGTGATCATACTTGCAAAAAATGTTCAGTTGAAGTCAGAATTATTAGCCCCCCTGTTTATTTTTTCCCCAATTTTTGTTTAACGGAGAGATTTTTTGGACACGTTTCTAAACATAATAGTTTTAAAACTCATTTCTAATAACTGATTTATTTTATCTTTGCCATGATGACAGTAAATAATATTTGACTAGACATTTTTCAAGACACTTCTATACAGCTTAAAGTGACATTTAAAGGCTAAACTAGGTAAAAGGTCTAATAATTCTGATGTCAACTAGAAATATAAAGAAAAAAAAATATTGGCAAAAATATACTGAATATCACTGACACAAACGGACACAAAATGTTTGAACAGATAGATGGGAGAGTCCAAACAATAGAAATAATAATAAAAAGAAAAATCTTTTCTGTTGGCCTTTTCTTTCTACCCTAACTATCCAAAAGAAAAATATATCAGTTACTGGAAAGAAAATCTTAACTAAATCCTAATCTAACCTACACCAAGATAAGAGAAAAACAAAAGTACAGCAGGTGGTGCACGCTCCTTACCAAGTGTGTCTTACAAAAGGGTTATACAAAGCCTACCTGTGCACAATGTATGTCGTGCGACATTCTTACCGGTCCCACTCTCCAACCTATGTCCGTAACGTATCATTAAATCAGATTGCACTATTAGCATCTTACTCAAACATTTCAAGTAAGTTTATCTTATAGAAAAGTACAT